TAAACGTTAAATAAAACAAACATTTCATCAACTATTTCTACTCTTCTAAATGTAAAGTGCAAATAAGTACGGTGTGTAACTAAACATACGCGGTTCTGTAAAATAAATGAAACAATTGTAATTTACGAAACAAGTATTTAATATATTATAAATAGAGTATTTTTAATTATCTGGTTCGTAATGCATGATTATAATAAAAATTATAATTCATTTAAAAATAAACTAACATAAAAACTCTAATAAACGCTTTGAAATGCCCAATTATATATATAAATCGCTCTATTTTTGTTACGTTAGTAGATTTCGACCTGTTCATTCGTATCGCGAAACAGATTTTATAATGTCTTTGTTGTAGTGTTGTGCCTGTTTTTTTCATTGTGATTTTATAAACACAATACAGTTATCAGTAAATTAAAAAATTCCCTTTTAAAAGCCGTCTACCAAATACACTACAATTTTTCTTTGAATATAGGTGAACACACGATCGTGCTTGTTTATTGCACATAAATTCATCAACAATTTTAGCTTTGTATGCAAACGCTTTAGTAGAATGAAAATCACTTAAAAATCTGGTGTTTGCTAGCTACGGAAAATACAACTACACAAAAGTGTAAGTTCTTCCATTTGATTGAGTATCGTGCGTTTCTTTTAATGTACATATTCTTTCTCTTCTTAATGATCCGATATATTAATGCTTCTTAAATAAAACACTATAAAGACGCTAAGAATAGTTATAAACATCTGAACATATTTTATAAAACAAAAAGTAATATTTAAACGATAAAAATTGCTTCACCGCAATTTACAATGCATCATTCTTTTATCATTCTTATTAAGGTATGCCTATCCGAGTTTATTCAGTTTCTGTAACCATGATAAACGTCAGAATCAACATTTCTCACTTCTTTAACTACAAGATTTCATTATTTATATTTTTCCATATAATAAAATATGTTATTCTTTTTATAAGAAACGTTATTCATATCATTATATTAGTCTTCTCAGTAGCAAAGATTCCCACTCACGTTTTATATAACATGGGAGCATATGCAATTACGCTTGTATTTCCTTTCTGAATCTCCTGCTTTCATGCTCTTTAAAGTTACTTTTCCCTGGACCACCCTGAAAAATGCATTAATGAAATTCATTATTATGTTATAACGTTTTAGAACGTAGCTATATAAATAGGAACAAATATTTTTACCCTTCAATATCTTTTTATGATAATTTTTTGCATGCTGATTTGTATCGAATGAAAAATTCGAGAAAGAATTGGAAAGATATACATATATTCAAAATAGGGAATTTCAATCAATGTGTGTGTGAATTAACATACAATGTTAAAAAGAAAATCAATCACCAAACATAAACATCAATATCAAAACTGTCTTGTTAATTACGTATGTGAAGATTTGATAGGTATTAGAAAACAATGATCAGTGTCTTTTTCTTTGTGAAACAAACACTGCAACATAAAAATTCGAAAACATCTCATTTCCCCCTCTTGCCCTCCATACAACTGTATTTACATAAAACTAGATGTGTGTTTTCTGCAATATATAAATACAATACATGCAAC